TGTTTCGAATGCTGGAGCGTTTGAGGGATATCCTCGGAAAGGAATCTCGCAGAAAGATCGCGGTGGTTATCGTGGAGTATCGAAATAGGCGGATTCGCACAGGACAAAAAGAAACGTGGTTTAAAGTCGCACTTTTAATTGTTTAATTGGGTTTATTTGTCACTGCACACAAACCCACAGTCAGAACAAAACGCCGGATTACGCCGATAATCGGTTATCGCGTAACAAAAGTTCGTAGTGATAATAGGTTTAGAATTAAAGTGTTTATTTCTCGAGATCTGGATTACGAATAATACCGAGCACAGGTAGCGTTCCCGGAGACAAAGAAATTCGGTTATTACCGAGGTGAAGAGGGGGACGGGCGAGACCTTCGGGACACGGCGAAGGTGTTTGAAATTTGGGTACGCGCGCACGGGCACGAATAAACATTACCATGAAAGAATGAAATGGCTTAACAATCAACGATTGCCGTTGCCCGAACAATTACATCATTATAATTTGATAACAAAGGGGAGATCGGGTATGGTTGTCACATTTATTTATTTTTATTTTTTGCAGGTGGTAGTTTGCAGGAAAGTTCATTCAAACATCGTCTAAATTTATAAAACAATTAGTTTTATGAATATTATCAATAAGACTGTGGAATTAATTCACATTATGTGTAGTAATTATTTTGTGACAATGTACGCCAAGCTTGAGTTAGTTGTCACAATATATGGGGTTGGTTGCCACACATTTAAATAGCTAAATTTATTAAGAAAAAATTAATTGAATTGAAAAAATAACAATTTTATTATTAATGTTATCACATTCGTTATAAAAATCTCTTATATTTAAAGTTTAATTTTGAAATTTGAACACAAAATAATAATGAAACGAAGAAACTATACAGTCTTGAACATAAAATTAAACTAACAATTGAAAATATTAAAAAAAAAAATTAAAAACTTAACTCTTTGTACTCATTGTGAATTCTAAACAATATTAAATTTTAAAATATTTATAATAAAATTAAGAATTTTATATCATTAAAAATAAATTAAAAGTAGCTGTAGCAAACTTATCAATTATTGAAAATCATTAAGTCAGCAGTCTTATCGTTAAAAAATCAATTTGAATTGAAAAAGTAACAACTTTATTAGTTAGTTGTCACATGTGAAAAATCATCCCAAATGATCTACACCGTTAAATAATTTAAATTATCCACTCATTTATTACGAAGTTTGAAAAATGTAAAAAGATCATTAGAATAAGTTAGATAAAATTCTAAACTATCTGATTTTAAAGACATTATAGTCGATACTAAGAAACCAATATACTTACCTAATCGAAAAGATGGTGCATCGTAATTAACAATGATCCGTCGTGTCTTGATACTGATCTACAGCGAACTGAGCAATCGCGAGGGTGTTTGCGATTTGCGTGATCAGCGAGGTCATAAAGACGCCATAATTATCGTTAATCATACCAGAAATATTTACAAAAGTCACAGAGATATATACAGAAAACACACGAGAATATATACAGAGAAATATTAATCACTAAATTAATTGCGAGGACGAGAAACACTAATAAAAACTTGGACTAATAATGCGCGTGCTAAATACTTCAGCTTCGCGTGGACCGGAAAAATGCGCACTTGCACAAATCTGCGAGGACCCACGTGTTCACGAGTCGCGAGATCGAACAAGAAGGAAGAAAACCGGTAAATGGCGTCGAGCGTGCAGGTTCCTGCGGTGGGAGGAGGCGATTAGAACAATGCGTATCTGAGAGGTGCTGTCGCTATCGGTAATGACGCACCGGCAAACTATTTTCGCCACTGAGTAAACGATTTTAGAGAATTTCGCCAACAGGAGGGAGAGGCGACAATATATCCACGCGTTACCATGGGTTATTAGTACATTTCTATTGTTTGGTTTCTTTGTTATAATAATTGTGACAACCAAACCGTGTGGCAAACATAACCGGTCTTCTCTATAGTGTGTAATTAATAACATGCATTGATAACTTTATTTCATTATGATTAATATACAGGGTGTTCGACAACAGGTGGGCAATATTTTAAGGGGTGATTCTAGGGATCAAAATAAGACGAAAATGAAGAATAACGAAATAGCGTTTACGGCTTTGTTTTCCAGTTATTAACGTTTAAAAATTCGAGTAAAAAGCGCCAGAAACCTGCAATCCGCTCAGCACCGACGACCAAACGTCAGGTCAGCAGGGGTCGGTACAGTCATAATCAAGAATCGTTGAATAGTTGAAACTTATCTCGTGCTATTCTGCTCCTCAGTACTACAGCATTCGGCTTCGATTTTTGGTTATGACTGTACCAACCCCTGCTGACCTGACGTTCGGTCGTCGGTGCTGAGCGGATTGCAGGTTTCTGGCGCTTTTTACTCAAATTTTTAAACTTTAATAACTGGAAAACAAAACCGTAAACGCTATTTCGTTATTCTTGATTTTCGTCTTATTTTGATCACCCCTAGAATCACCCCTTAAAATATTGCCCACCTGTTGTATACAATAATCTATGGACAGCTTTCACGTATCGTTAGGTGAGGTAATCACCTAATAATAGTGAAATAATCTCACGTATTGTTAGGTGAGAAAACCTCAAGCAATTCCCACGCGCAGTCCGCCTATTTAGCGCCTGATAAACTCCTAGTTACAGTAAAACCTGGATAAATGCAACGAAAGAATGCTTGGATAAATGCAACATCGCTATCCCCTCCACTTGGGGGGATCCCCCTAGGCGAACCGAGCCGCTCGACGAGGAAACCGTGTAATATGATTCGACCGTAATATCGGTGTGACTAATACTAATTGAACGATAAAACTTTTTTATTTTTAACTTTTTCTTAATGAAACTTTTACTAATGCATTTGTGAGATTTTTCTTATTAAAATGACACCAAACACGATATAGTTTGAATTATATTTATAAACAATAGTAATAGAATAAACAACATAGAATTGACACCACGACTGAATATAAATGATGTCGGCTGAATACAAAAGATGTGGACGGACACAGAATCGACACCTCGCTTGGATAAATGCAACATTAAATGCCCAGAATCGACACCTCGCTTGGATAAATGCAACATTAAATGCCCAGAATCGACACCTCGCTTGGATAAATGCAACATTAAATGCCCAGAATCGACACCTTGCCTGGATAAATGAAACCTTTGAAACCAGAGCCGACACCGCGACTGGTTTTGATTTCGATCTCTGTTGCTTTTCGCCAACCTTTAACATCAATTTTAGCAACAATTATAATTGAAACTATATCGTGTTTGGTACCATTTGAATCAGAAAAATTTCACCAATGCGTTAGTAAAAGTTTTAATAAAAAAAAGTCAAAAATAAAAAAGTTTTATAGTTGAATTAGTATTAGTCACACCGATACGTTTCGGCTCTTTCCTTTCATCATCGGACCTCTCTCTTTCCGCCACTGTCTGTCCCTTTCTACGTTCACGCTTGGCTGGTCGTCGCGTGTAACCCGAGATTCGACACCTCGCTTGGATAAATGCAACCACTGGGTCCCAATCTTGGTTGCATTTATCCAGGTTTTACTGTAATTTGTTACGGGGAAAACGTAACGAAGGTCGGTGAACGGCTGACAAATGGTGCCCATAGATACTCGTTCGTGTGAAAGTAAATGAAAAGCCGTGTTCATTTTCAAGGTTGACAATATTCTGCTTTATTGAAGGTTGCAGATCAGTTTTTATGTTCTCGGTTGCTTGTTGGTCAAACTTTTGGGGGTACAAAGTTGCGGTGTGTCACCAATGTACAAACATTGTTTAGTTCACTTCAAGTTACTCTAGGAGAAACACTGTCGAAAATTTCGTTTATAACATTCATTATTGCTAGAAGGATAAAATGAATTGAAAGAAATCTGTACGAAAATTGATAATGAAGTGGTATAAGGAAGGCAAATCGCACAGTGAAATTGCAAAACTTGTAAGCAGGAGTTAAATATTTACTTCACTGCTTCACTTCACCCATTAACCGAATTGAGGGTTTCATTATCCTTCGCCTAAGTTCTGGAGGCTATGCCACTGCTTTGAAGTCATCGTCTCCGCATCGCTCTGATCCAGTCAGACTTGACCGATTCATTTGTTTTCTTCGTCCAGCGATTCGACCAATTACGAAAATACTTGTGATGCGAAGTAGGGGTATCGGGTACTGTGCAGAGATAGAAAGAATATTAGCGGAAGGAATGCAGATGCGATTGGTTGTCGTCGGTAAGTCACACCTCACGCACACGCATTCTAGATTATCGCGCGCTATTGGCCGATGCGATCACATACTAATCGCATCGCCTGACAAAGAAGGAAAATGAGACTTCGTGACAAAGTGAGATGATACGATGTCAGCGTTGCGATGAACTTTAAACACGAGGATCAAACGTGAGGACAGGGGGGAGCGTGCAAAGTGCTCCCTTTGCCCCTGTGCCGTCCCGCTAATATTCTTTCCACCTCTGCACAGTAGTGGAGCATAAATCCCTACAAGATTTAGTCAGTACGAATGGTACTTGCTCGTACTCGGGCGCTTGGGTAACGGTTAGATAAATATCTCTAACAACAGCGTTAGTTACCTCAAACAAAGTAGCCTTCGTATCCTCAAATATTTTCTACATATACCAATAATAGTTCTAAGTACTTTGAACTTTTTAACCCTGAACCTTCCAACTGAATGTATACATATAAGCAGGCCACAAGATTTGTCGTGACAGTAAAGACCGTCGAACCTATATCGTTTTATTTTAATTTTTTTCTTTTCGTTCGGAGTGTCTACGGAATCCGCTCGTTAAACGTTTCTCTACAACTGCGACTTCCCTGTAACAGATGTTTAGATGACGCTGCACGTCTCTACGGGCAATTTTTCTTTAAACAGCAACGTTATTTACAAAATATAAATTCTAATCACTTACACACATATGCCCATACTATATTTATCGCCCTACAATGTATATTTTATTTTTCTGTGTTGCAGGTACCGCGACCTAAAGAATCGTGCCTTGACATCATGCACCAATTGAAGATAGTTTATTAGTGACCAGCAACGTAAAAATCTTTGAACGAACAATTTATAAGTTTAAATGAGTACGAAGGTGAGTCCTATCTAAGGCATCCGATAACCGACAATATAAAACGAACCGTTCGATTTGCAACAATGAAAGACCACGCGGCTATTTTACATTGTCGACAATCGCGCTCAGTGGGGCTGACCGTACGGCAGAGATGAAATCTCGCCGAGACTTACGTGTATCAGCTCAGCCTCGTGCGAGACACGAACGTCTCGTTTGGGGTAGGAGATCAGATACGTGTTTTAATACCAGGCACGCAAATCAAGAAGAAATGGAGCATAAACAGACAATTCTGCTTCCACCGGCGTTAAGCAACAGTAGTTGTTGGCAAAGAGACACGTCCGAAGCCATTTGGACCGTTCCAGGACCAGCGGAATTACTACGCGCCGCTCTAATTCTTCTACTCAGCCTTGGTATCCTTTGCGCGAACCTATTAGTAATATGCGTCATCAACAGCAAACGATACAGCAAATACATTCACGCACAGGTTAGTACATTTTTTTTATAAATTAAATTGCTGTAATATTTTTTGCTTCTTATTATTGTAAGACGGTATACTCCATCAATTTGACGCGATGACGAGGGTGTGTGAATGAATACATTATTAACGCAGGGATGTATAAGTTTGTACTATGCAGAGATGAGAAGTTGACGAGCGGGACGGCACAGGGGTAAAGGGAGCACTTTGCACGCTCCGCCCTGTCCCCACGTTTGATCCTCGCGTAATCCACACCATTCGACTTTAGTGGCACGCTCTTACATAGGCGTAGCAATTTCGTATTTCCGTGGAAGACGGTACATACTACATATTATAGACAGAACTCTATGATAGGAGTCAACGCCTATGGCTTAAAATTCACGATGATACGGAAACCAGGTTCCGTTCGAGTTCTCCTGCGCGGGGAGACGTCCAAACGTCGCGTCGTCAGAGGCGTCAGATGATGTTATTGTTGCTGGCAGGGCCCTGGGAGCTACGATAAAGCGTATCGTGAATTAACGTAATCGCGGGAAAAGCTATTGAACCCGACTACGCGATACCCGATTACACTGTCCAACAAATTTAAACTTTTTCTCTGTTTTCTAATAGCCACTGGGTGATCGTTGTAGAGTTTCTCGTCCTGAACACGAATCCGAAAACCGAATTGCTCTATCACCCTCAGTTTTCGAAAAACACGAGTTTTTGTAAAAACATGTATTTTGGGGGGAAAATGACCTATTAAGGCAAGGGTGACACATCTCTTCCCTCCAAACATTCCGATGTTCTCCATCTACTTCTCCAAAGAGAACGCCTCGGTGACCCGTTTATATCGGACCCGTTTTATAAACAGTCTTAATGAACGCTCACAAGGGAATGGTCAAAAGTGGGTGGTAGAGTTGCTCATCCATACTATGTTTATTCGAAAGAGCATGAAACGAGGAGTTTATGGTGCAATTTTTGGGTACCATTGGCAACGGGTTCAAAAGTTATGGAACTTTGAAATTGTCATAATTTTAAGTGCAAATTGCATCTCACATGCAATTTTCCCTGAAACTCATCTTCATTATTAGTAAACATCATCTAATCATCTCCAATTCATGCCTTTGTTGGATAACCAACGCCACTAATCGCAACACAAACACTATGGATTCATCCTCAGCCAAACATTCCAACCATGACTCCTAACCTTTACTCATCCTGCATTTCATTCCTTTCCTTAGTCACACTGTTCCTTGACATCACCCCTATTCCTGATTCATCTTGCACTTTGTACCCTGACCATCGTCCCTATTCCTTACTCATCCTGCACTTTGTACCTTTCCGTAGTCACACTGTTCCTTAACCATCATCCCTACCACTATCCAATTTCCACCAATAGTATATAAAAAGCTTACAGAGCTTTACCAGAGCAGATTTCAGTACCTACTAGTCGAGTGCGCATTTCATAATAAACGTTTCTAAGTAAGAGTATTCTCTACGTGTTGTTTAATTCCTAGGAATCCAACACCTTTGTCAATATGTAAATTTCAAAGTCCCATAACTTTTGAACCCGTTACCAATGGCACTCAAAAATTGCACCATAAACTCTTCGTTTCATGCTCTTTCGAATAAACATAATCTGGACTAGCAACTATCCACTTTTGACCATTCCCTTGTCAGACAGTTCCTTTTCTACGATTTGGCGAATTGTATCTGCGTTTAACCGGTGAACCGATCACGTGTACGTGTGGTGAGATACTCAGCAGATGCAATATAGATATGTGTCAATAAATAAAATATCAAAAATCATGTTTAATATATAAATATGCATGTGGCAATGTTATGTTTTGTGGATGTAGGTATATATGTTGCAAAATTGAGTTATTTAAAATTTATCAGCGGAATTACGAATCAGAATGTTCACCTTAACATTATGCGAGAGAATTTAGATTATAACGCGATGCAAATACATCAAAATTAATGTGACGTTTGACCTAGTACGGAAAAATTGCGACATGGAATCAATAAGAACCACACAAAATTTGAAGCTAGTATCTAAGTCGATATCTTCTCTTTCAGCAAGAACTTTGAATTTTCTAGAATATAATAAAAGAAGGTAAAATAGTAAAGTTGTGCAAGTATCCGAAAATTACAATACAGTGCAATAATTTGTTCGAGTACCCGTCATTTTGGGACCCGAATATCAATTCGGGACTCCAGGTCGACTCGAGACTGAAAACTCAGTTATGCATCCGATTATACAGGATGACATATGAAAACACTTTCAAACTTAAAAATTTAAGATAAATCTGAAAAATCATGTTCCGAATGCAGTGTCGGCTCCCGAATTGAATTTCCAGTCTCCGATAGAGTTACAGTGCCGAGACGAATTCGAGTTTCAAAATGATATTCGAGTCCCGTGTTACATTTTCGTCTTTGAAAATTTCCTTATTTGGAGTTGGATGCGTACTATTCAGTGTCGCTAAGTTGCCGAGCACCGACAAACTGAACGACAGAGGGGCAAGGGGACTGTGTGTCGTCGGCTCCACCTAATCCCCTTCAGGAACCCGGAACTTGAGAAGTCAGCAGTCACATTGCATAGGCGTAAAATTTTCATATTCGCGGGGGTACATTTCTGGATATTAATGGATTGTTTATAATATTTATTCTTAGCAACAGTTGTTATTATGCAAAATTTATGGAAATTACATTATGGAAAGTGTGAAAACTCTCCTGTTTTCTTAATAATGTAAACCCCGAATCTACGTCTATGTCAATGCGTCCGAATCGTCGCTTGCTATGCTGTCCTTAGCGACGTTTGTCACTCGATAGATTGTAAATTCTTACAAATTAATCACTTTGACTTTTTTATTTGGTTAGTATTAATAACGGTCGGTTATTATTAATATAAATCGATTAATTACTTGAAACGTAACATACATGGTACATAAAAATTTAAAGTTATTAAATTTAAAAACAAGGAGTGAAAATCCATTGTGCCCCTACCACCGAATATGATGGAATACCGAAAATGGGGGAAGATGGTTCCTTTAAATATTTCCACGATAGATGCAAATATGAATTTCTTCTGAATCATTTTCATCATCCCCTGCACACGGGTTGTGGGATCAACGTCCACAAAGTTGGCATGCAACCCAATCTTCGATAGAATGTAAATAGGATTCATTTGTAATCTTTAAGTTCTGTGGATTTCTCTACTGTTTTTATTTGTTTCTTTCTATCTTTTTTCAAAAGCGGATGATTTGGATCAGGACATTTTCATCTTAAACTTTCTAGTTCCTTTTTGTAAGAACTAGAAGTGAGAATCACAGTTTTTGCATGTCAAAACTTTCTTTCCTTTCTTCGTTCGTTGAATTGTCGGCATTCAAAACTACAGTGGGTGATCATATTATTATGAACAATTCGAAATTACCACTTATTTGGAAAGTTTGATCAGGGATGGAATTGAAAATACACTTAAAATGGTATCCCTTTTTATTGCAAAACTTACTGTTATATTTTTATTATTATGATATTGCTATATTTTAAAACTTTTATGATTTAAAACACATATAATGTTAATATTTGGTCACGCCGCCCTTGGCATCTATAATTAGGGGAAAGGCGGGTAGCCCCGGACATTTTTATATCTCTATTGTTACGTCATATAGAAATACAAATGACATATGACAACATGGCTTCTGTGCTTAAAAAACAATTGCAAACCATTAATTGTATGCACGACAAGCAAATTGGGTTATTATATAAATTTTAGTTTCGCTGAAGGTGAGTTTACAGACACCATCAAATTTCATTGACGCTTATTACCTATTAAAGGTAAGTACCGTTACATGTTTTACTGATTCTAGTATTAATAATTTCATACATTTTAAGATTCTGAAACATTTAGCTAAATTCCTTTCATATTGTATAAATAAATGGCAAAAATGTTGGATGAAGTTAATCGGGTAGCCCCGGACACTTTTATGAACCTTGTTAAGGTTCGATTTATACTACTTTAACGCGTTTAATGATATAAACATATTTTTTTTAGTATACGGTTATAAAAATGCCACAATTTAAGGGACGAACTAGCAATAGAGGCAACTGGAATGAACATAAGTTGAAAGAGGCTGTTTTTGTAGCACTCTCCATGATCGAATAAAGGTGTTAAAGAGCGGTAATGAAGTGACCTTTAAACCAAAATTAGGACAGTTTGAGTCAACATTTGACGACAATTTTTCATTGTAATTGTACAACCACATCAGAGATCTGGACAACCGCCTAATGCCGTTAACTAGATTAGAGTTTCTAAAACCAGCTTTCGACTTGGCAGAATATTTCAAAATTCCTCGCCGATTTAACAAGGAGAAAGGAATGGCGGGGAAAGATTTCTTACATGGTTTTCAGAAAAAATATCCAAATGTTGTTTTGAGAACTGCTGAATCAACAAGCATTTCGCGTGCAGTTGATTTTAATAAACCACAAGTAGATCGTTTCTACGATCAACTTCTGCAGCTTCAAGAAAAATATAATTTTCTTCCTTCTAGAATTTACAATACAGATGAAACAGGTATTTCCAATGTCCATAAAAATGACAAAGTTTTGTCTTTCAAAGAGAGAAAACAAGTCGGAAAATTAACTTCTGCAGAAAGAGAATAAAAATATCACAGTAATGTTCGCAATGAATGTTACTGGCCAGTTTGTGCCACCTCTGTTTATTTTTCCAAGAAAAAAGATGGATAAGTTTGGTCGATTAATGATAGGAGCTCCACTCGATAGCATTGCTATTCCACATGAAAGCGGGTGGATGAATGGAGACATATTTTTGCAGTGATTGCAGCATTTCAAACAACACGTGCAACCTACAAAGGAAACTCCAGTCCTTCTAATTCTGAATATGCTCGTAAAAATTGCATTCATATGCTTAGCACTCCGTCACACACGACACATTAACTCCAACCGCTTGATAGGACGTTTTTCAAGCCTTTTAAAACATCATATGCTTCGGCAAGTGCTGTATGGATTAC